ATCGGGTAGGACGAGGAGTGGAGAGGAGACGAGAAGGATGGTGACGACGAGGCGGGGGTGGGGGGTGGGGCAGGATGATGCACAGGAGGAGGAGGAAGAGGAACGGGAGTAGCAGGGACAGGGGGACGATGAGGAAGAGGATGTGGAGGGTTGTATGGATGGAAGGGGGGAGGATTAGGAGGAGGCGCGGAACGTTTGTGAGGACTGTTATTCTGTCCATCCAGTTTCCTTCGGCAAGTCACACCATGGAGCCGTCCTAATACGCCCAGGAGCGGCTGTTCGAGGGGGGCGACGGGAGGCTGTAATATATGATTCGGGAGCGTCTAGAGTGCGTTGGCGGTTGGAGTTACTGTCATAAGCACCACCGCATGTAACATCTCTGGCTTAGTGAGGTCGTCTTGGGGCGGAGTAGGATGATGACGAAGGAGTCGGCGATGAGGAGGGGGGGGGGCATGATCATAATTCGGAAAACACGGAGGATTAGCATCATAGTGAACGAGCGTGGTGCGGAAATTCGTATTGGTGATGGTGTTGAGGAGGGCGAGGAGGTGGAGGAGGTGGAAACCGAGGACCAGCCAGGTCGTCACGTGTAAGGTTTTCGTCGTCACGTCTTCAGGCGCTTTCATGGAGCTCTTGAGGTCTGCCGAGCTGAGGCTTCCTTTCGCCGCCTCGAGGGCCAGCGGGTCGCCCGTGGAGGTCCACAGGGCACGCCATGCGCAAGGGGTGTGCCGAATGGAGGCCCCAAGGAGGTATCTTTGGGGCCAGCTGAGCTCCCAGGATGCACGTCCTCCTCCTCCTCCTCCTCCTCCTCCTCACGAGCTGTGCAAGGGGTGTGCCGAGTCGAAGCTCCCTTCAGCCGTCTTGCGTGCCAGCGGCTCACGTGGGGCACGAAATGTGTGAGGGGCCTTGCCGAAGGAAGGCTCCGTTTTGGGGGCCAGCTGAGCGCCCATGCTGCACGAAGCGGGTGAGGCTCCCAGGAGAGCGCAAGGACCAAGTCACGCGTGAGGGGCGTCTGCCTCATGGAGTCTCTGATGAGCCGTCTTCGGGGCCAGCCGAGCGCCACATGCTGCCAGACGTTCTCCAGCTTCCCGGGAGAGCGGACGGGCCACTCCTCTTGTTGCGCCTCCTGGAGGTTTCGAGGCCAAACCCTCGTATCTTTGCGTGTCCCGGGAGCCCGAGAGCGCGGATCTCTCGTATTTTTTTTTTGCATCTGGGGAATCGGGGCTTCCATGGAGGGTGAAGTGGGTGAGGGGCGTGCCGAATCGAGATTCCCTTGGGCAATACAGGGGCTCCCCCGAGCAGATTTTTCAAAGACGTCTCGAACGAAGGGCAATCTGTTCTGAGATTCGGAATCCCCTTCCGGAGCCGATTTCTCCAGATGTCTTGAGCGAGACGGCTGCGGTCGGGAACTTTGGTCAGCGTGTCGCTTCGCCGGTTTTGGCCCGTCACGTTTCCGTGCAACACGCTGAGTCAGAGGCCAGCAACATGTGTACACGTACGCGGTTCGCTTCCTCTGGAGTGCGTGTCAACGCGGACGTTCGTGCAGGCAAGACCGCGGAGGGCGTACATGTACATCACCACCCACCAAACCACCCCAACCCAACCCGAAGGCTCAAATTTACCGTCGATTTCCAGTGGGGGGGGGTCGGGGAACATCGAAAAAACACGCGTGGAACCCTTACCCCCCCCAACCCGAAATTCGGGTCTTCGGGTTGGGTTGGGGTGGTCTGGTAGGTAGTCAGTACATGTACATATGTCGTTGCTCGCCCACGCTGCCCACATCACAGCCCCGTCTCTCGGGGTCCCGAACTTCTCCGAGCCCCTCGCCCCGCGGAGCGGAGCGACGCGCTGTCCGCTCGCATGGCACAGCGCGTCGCTGGGGCCGCTGCCGCGACACGCTAAGGCAACAGTTCTCGACAGCGGAACCCTTCTCGAAATCGAATGCAAGTTTTCAAGGTTGGTCGACGCGCGAAACGCGGCCCACGGGGTCAGATATGTTGTGTCTGCATTCGCCAATTTCGGCGCGAACGCTGTGATGTTTTGGCGCGCCGGGGTGCCGCCACGCTGCGGAACAACACTTGCGCCTGATGTCGAGGAGGGATGCAGTTGGTGGAAGTCGGAGTCTCTCAGAGACCCGAATCATCAGGGGTAACTCGGGTCAGGGCTAACTCGGGTTCGTTTTTCGGGAATCCGAACCCGAGTTGCCCCTGGCCCGAGTTACCCCGGATAACTCGGGCGTCCAGAGCCCCAAATCATCAGGGATAATTCGGGTCAGGGCTAACTCGGGTTCGTTTTTCGGGAATCCAAACCCGAGTTGCCCCGGGCCCGAGTTACCCCGGATAACTCGGGCGCCCAAGTCTCCTCCACAGCAGATGCTTTGAGGATGCCCCGAGAGAATGTGGCCCTTCGGGGAGGATCGGTCGGGCGCGTGCCCTGCGGGCGGCCTCCACGGGCCAGCGGGCGTGCGCGAGGCCGCTCCCCGCACGCACTGCTGCGTCGCCCTCGTAGCCCCTCCTGCGCCGCCCCCACCCGTCCCAGCAGTGGTAGCATCCACTTGGCTCCAAGCGTCCGCCGCCGTTACGACAGGCCCGCCGCCGTTACGACAGATCCGTTTTTGTTTCCTGCTTCCCGCGATGACCCGTGAGATGAGTGCATCGGCTGGTGTTGAAAAAAAGGGAAAATCATGCGTGCATCTCTCAGGGGTGGCGATGAGGGGAGGTAGGCTCAGGGGTCGCCGCCGCCGGGGCCGCCGCCGCGACACGCTAAGCAAGAGTTCCTGACCGGAGACGTCTCGAGGCTGGAGGTGTTCGAGCGTTTTCGTCCGTGCTGGGCGGTTTTCCAGTCTCGGGAGGCTCTCCAGCAGTTGCGCCTCGCCGAGAGCGTTCAGGGGGTGCCCGGATCGTCCCGAGCGGCCGCCGGAGGCCCGAGTTGTGGCCCGAGAGCCATCGGGGACGGGCACAGGATCAGGGGGGAATGCATCGAGCCCCAGTCGCCCATCGATCGTCGATAGGGGCCCGATGGCCCACCCCGCCCAGGACCGTCTGGGCTCACTACCGGGGGCCTCGCGCCGATCTATCGGCGGTGTACTGCCGATTCCAGGTCGACGTTTCTCCCCCCCCTGAGCTGGTCCCCCCCTAGCGTTGCCGCTCAATCTCGCTCTCCTCCATCATCCTTCATTTCATCATTTGCTCTCGCGGCTTAACGCTCAACACGGCTGGGTCCCGCAGGGGGCCCGCCGAATCAATCGCGTCGCTCATTCTGCCTGCCCACCCAGCGTGGTCGGGTCGCGGACAAGCGGCCTACTTGGGAGGCTTCTTGGAGTATGTCGGGAGGCCTCTTGGTGCCATTTTTCCCGGGCAGGGGGCCTTCTGTCTGCCTCCTTGCCATCCTGGGGGCCTCCTCTTGGTCTTGGGGGCCTCTTGAGCCTCCTGGGGGGCCCCCTGGGCCGTCTTGGGGCCCTCTTGGGCAGTCTGGGGGCCCGCTTGGGAGTCTGTTGGGATGTCCCGGGGCGATCTTGGAGGCCTCTTGGGCCGTCTCGGGTGGCCGGAAGCGCCGAAAAGACAAAGCACATAGAACATCAAGGAGTTTTGCCTCCTCCTGGGGTCCTCTTGAGCACCTCCTGGAGCCCTCTTGGACGTCTTTGGGCGCCTCCAGGGCCCTCTTGGGTCCACCTGGGTCCGTCTCGAGGCCGTCTTGAGCCGTCTTCGAGCGCTCTCGGCCTGAGGTCGTGGAGCCTGCCATTCATCGGCGCAAGAGAAAGGGTTCGACTGCACCAGCATTCGTAAACTCGGAGGCCTTAAGGTTGACACCAACACCAATGTATCGGTGGTGTGACTCCACCGAGAGAAGATGATCCCGATCTCGGTAATGGTGGTACTATTCGAGCTTCCAAGGTGGCCGAAGTATTACCATCAACACCAACATCTAGGATCAGCTTGCCCCAGTTGAGGCAGACCCCGGTGTTGGTGTTGGGGCCCATATCCAAGCCTCCTATAAGCTGCCCGCGTAAGGTCGCTATGTAATTTCGCGTAAGGCCCGTTTCTATTCGTCGCTCATTCTCAGGTGTTGCTAGACGTGCGCCTGGCCCAAGGTGCCCCCAGGATTCCTGAGGAGGCCCGCCCGCGACCTCCGGAGCACCCCTCACGAGGCCCAGGGGGCCCAAGAGGCTCCAACATGGAGCAAACAGCTGGGGGCACCTTGGGCAAGGGGCACCTTGGCAACCCCCGACATTTGGGGCTAGCCAACAGCGCTCGCGCACGGCGCCCAAGACAAAAAACCATCAACAAGAGCCTCAGGGTATTTTTCCTGAGGGGACACCCCCAGCCTCCGGCCCCTGCCGCTGCTCTCCTCCGCCTCCACCCCCTCCTCCTCCTCCGCCTCCTCCTCCTCTGCCTCCGCCTCTGTCTCCTCCTACTCCGCCTCCTCCTCCTCCTCCTCTTCCTCCTCCTCCTCCTCCTCCTCCTCCTCCTCCTCCTCCTCCTCCTCCTCCTCCCCCTCCTTCTCCTCCCATCTCCTCCTCCTCCTCCTCCTCCTCCTCCTCCTCCTCCTCCTCCTCCTCTGTCTCCGCCTCCGTCTCCTCCTACTCCGCCTCCTCCTCCTCCGCCCCCTCCTTCTCACACCTGATCCGCTTTTTGTTTTCCTCGGGCTCTACAGGGTGCCGCAGTCTTGGGGCGTTCGGATTCATCGGATCACTGGTGCTGCTCTGCTCTGCCCTCCTTCTCCTCCCTCCTCCTCCTCCTCCTCCTCCTCCTCCTCCTCCGCCTCGTGCCTTCTTTGCGCACTGGTTCCTGAAGTCCTTGGTCCACGATCTCTATTCGCGCACGACGTGAGGCCACGGCTTCACGAGGTCCTGCCCAAAGGGGCACGGGCACACATGCGTGCCCGACTCCGGCGCCTCCGCTCCGCCTTCGCCTCGCTTTCTCCTCGGACCTCCTCCGATCTCCTCTTCGTCGTCCTCCTCCGACCTCCTCCGACCTCGTTCTCCTCCTCCTCCTCCGCAGGCGGTACCTCAAGCAAGAGCTGCGGCCCCCGAGCCTGTTCCACGCGGACCCCGAGAGGTTGTCCGTGCGGGACGAGGAGATCCTGCACCGGCTGCGGGAGGTCCTTCTGCGCGACTATTGGCCCCACCCCGTCTTCGAATTCAACGGCTACTCTTCCATGGGGGTCATGGCGCTCGGGGTCAACTCGCCCTCCTCCCTCCTCTCTCCTCCTCGTCCTCCCGCTCAGCTGCTCTCCCCTCCTTCCTCCTTCCCACTGGTCCTGCTGATCCTCCTGATGCCTTCTCCTCCTCCTGCTCCTGCTCCTCCTCCTCCTCCTCCTCCTCCTTGCTCATCCCTCCTCCCTGCTCCCTCCTCCCTTCTACCTCCTCGTTTTCCTTGTTCCCCTCCTCCTCCCCCTCCTCCTCCCTGCCCTCCCCTCCCCTGCCCTCCCCTCCCCTCCCCCCCTCCCCCTCCTCGGGCAGGCGCTCGGGACCATGCTGCCCGCGCCCATGACGGGAGAGATGGAAACGCTCAGGCTGCAGGACGGGGGCACGGTGCTGCTGCACTGGTCCGAGCGTTCCCCTGGACCCGCTGCGCCGCTGGTGCTGATCTTGCCGGGCCTCGGCAACGACAGCCGGACTGCCTATATTCAAAGCTCGCCAGGGCCCCCGAAAACAGGACTCTGCAGCAGGGATGGACCTCAACGGTGTTTGGGCCATCTCGGGGGCCGTTTTGCCTGTCGCTCCGTTGTGCACTCGAGGCTATAAGCGACGGCGGAGCGAGGAAGGACGAGCAAACAGAGCGAGAACGCACAGCACCTTTCAGGTTGAAGCCCTGCTCTGCAGACCGCCAGGTCGACCCCGGGGGCGCGAAGGTGGCCGCGCTGCGCGCGCCGCGGCCTCGGCGGGAGAGCTGCCTCTCTCCCAGGCGGCCCCGCGAGGGCGCGCACGCCACCGCGCCGTGGCGCGCAATGGCAGGCCCCGCGGCGCGCGAGAGGCGCCCAGGGAGAGCAGGGCCGCGCCGGCTCCGACGGGGGAGCGCCGCGCGGGGAGCACGCTGCGGCCCGCGGCGGTGGTCCCGGGGCTGCCACGGTCTGCCAAGGTCCGCGCTTGTCACCGAGCGCGTTCCACTGCTCGCAGAGCGCCTGCTCGCAAGCGCCCGACAAAACACGTGCCTGCTTCTCCTCCCCCTCCTCCTCCTCCTCCTCCTCCTCCTCCTCCTCCTCCTCCTCCTCCTGCTCCTCCTCCCTCCTCCGCCCTCCTCCTCCTCCTCCCTCCCCTCCCTCCCTCCCCCTCCCTCCCTCCTCCCTCCCTCCCTCCCCTCCTCCTCCTCCTCCTCCTCCTCCTCCTCCTCCTCCTCCTTCATCTACATCGTAGGCCCCCCGCGGCGGATCTGGGCGACTTGCGAGCAGCTGCTCTGCGAGCAGTGGAGCGCGCTCGTCTGGTTTTGTGGGGCCCTGGGCTCGAAGGCCAGAAGGCAGCGGCGCGAGCAAGCACTCCCGGAGGCCCGCGCGCGGGCGTCCAGGTCGGCGCGCGGGGTTTTCCCTTGCCCTCCTCCTCCTCCTCCTCCTCCTCCTCCTCCTCCTCCTCCCTCTCCTCCTCCTCCTCCTCCTCTTCCTCCTCCTCTTCCTTCTCCTCCTCCCCCTCCTCCTCCGGTCGCCGGAGTCAACTGCTTGGGGCTCAAGGGAGAAGCAAAGACCACCCCGACACCGAGCACTGGCGTTTGCCAAACGGCCCTGGGCGTTTACCCTGAACGGCCCCGCCCTGTTCTGTTCCTTCCCTCGGGTGCGCCTGCCACATCATGGCTTCGCTCGTCTGGGTGCTCCTGGGTAGGGGGGGAAATACTGCTCCCTGGGGGCTGGCGCAGGGGGGGAGGCATCGACTCCGACCGCCCCTTTCTCGCTGATCGGGGTCTGGGCGCCCCAGCCGAGTTCGTGGCCCACCGCCGAGTTGTGTCCGGGTCGGGCGAACAGGGGGGTAGGGAAAGGAGAGGTTGCGAAGTCTTCCGCGTGCAGCGGGTTTCGGCCCCGCCTCCGGGCGCTCTCCTCGACACTCGATCAGTGGCGAAGCGTCTTGGCGTTCCTCTGCTGTAGGCCCACCGAAGAGTGCTCCAAGAGCCCTCTGTGATTCGCACGAGATGTTCTCAGAGCAGTTCTGGCTGAGACCGTATTGCTTTAGCACATCGGGCTTATGTTCTAAGAGCCTGGTTTTGTTTTTAGGACACCTTAGGGTTCGAAGGCAATGTTCGTGCTAGGCCTACAGGAATGCCGGCACGGTCGGTTCCTGCGCAAGACGCCCTGGCGCCGCCAGCGCGGGGCCCCCCTCGTCGGGCCTGTCGGCCCCCCTCGCCCAGGGAAGCCTCGGGCGGGTGGTAATGGGGGGTGGCCTCAATGCTCACCACCCACCAAACCACCCCAACCCAACCCGAAGGCTCAAATTTACCGTCGATTTCCAGTGGGGGGGGGGTCGGGGAACATCGAAAAAACACGCGTGGAACCCTTACCCCCCCCAACCCGAAATTCGGGTCTTCGGGTTGGGTTGGGGTGGTCTGGTAGGTAGTCAAATGCGGGGTGCAGACAAGGGCCCTGAAGGGGCCCTTCGGGGCCGAATTTTTTTTCCCCCCCCGTTTGGGTCACCTCCCATTACCACCCGCCCGAAGGACACCCTGGTGCCGCTGGCGTTGAGACCCCCCCTGTCGGGCCTGCCGGTCCCCGTCGCCCAGGGAAGCCTCGGGCGGGTGGTAGTGCGGGGTGGCCTACATGGGGGGGGGGGGAAGAGAGAGAGGCCCCAGAGGGGGCCCTTTGGGGCCCCTTTTAGAGCCAGCAGGGGCCCGAAAGGGGCCCCAACGGGCCCCTTGGGGCCGAGTTTTCTTAACCCCCCGTTTGGGTCGCCCCCCCCTGCCACCCGCCCGAAAGTCGCGAGGGTCTCCGAGAGCCCGTGCTCGTAGCGTCCTCTGGGGCCCTTCCGCGCGGCGCCGTGGGGCACCTCGGGCGCCAGGGCTTCGCGGCGGTGGTGCTCAACTACCGGGCCGTGGGCCCGCAGGAGTCGAGCGGGGGATCGACGGCAGAGTCGGTCTACCCCAGAATTCATGTTCTCGTCGGGTGCACGGAAAAGACGCAGAGTTCTCGTGGATCATTCCACGTATTGGAGAGGCCTTCTGGCCTGTACCGCCGACCCTGAACGACGACGACACCGATGCTGACGTGGGTCAGAGTCCTCATGGGTGCCTCATGTGGTCTCTTCGGAGCGCTCTCGGGTGCCTCTGAGGGGTGATTTGGGGGCTTCTTGGGAGCCTCTTGGGGACCTGTTGGAAGGCTCTTGGGGGCCTCTTGGGGCTTCCCGGGCGCATCCTGGGATTTTCTTGGGGGCGTCTTGGAGGCTTCACGTATTTATCGTATATTCGACGATAAGTCAGTACCACTTTATCGTATTTATCGTATTTCTAGATTCGAGATTCTTCCAGAACCAAGTTTGGGTTAGATCAATTCTGTAGTCGATCCCCTACTCGAAGGAGCTGCGCACGCCGCGCGTCGGCTGCGCCGATTCGTGGCGCGACCTGCCCGAGGTGCTGGCGCACGTGCGGGCGAGGGCGCCCGAGGCGCCGCTGGCGGCTGTGGGCTATTCGATGCCCTGGGGAGGGAATCATCGAGCACACAGGAGCCCCTTACCTCGGAGGAGGGAGAGGTACCCGTACCTCTACCCGTCCTTCGTTCTCCCCTTTTTGAGCCTCCTGGGAGGCCCTCGTCGCCGCCGCTGGGTTCGCCTCGAAGTTCTGGTCTGAACGCACCCCGGGAGAGGTCTGGGGAGTAGCGGCGTCGGGACCTTTTGTTGTCTCCTCATCACCCTGCAGCACGAGGAAGACGCGGCCTCATTGAGGTCCCCGTCTTCGCATTAGGGATACTAGATTTGGGCGGTTTGGTCTGATACTAGAGGAGGAGGAGGAGGAGGAGGAGGAGGAGGAGGAGGAGGAGGAGGAGGAGGAGGAGGAGCAGGAGGAGGAGGAGGAGGAGGAGGAGGAGGAGGATCCCTAATGTTTCTGGCCCTCCGAACTTGGGTCCCCTCCCAGAGGGTCAGGGGCTCTTTTCTGGTGAGTCAGGGAAGGTTGCACGCCAGTCGTTGGCTCTAGGTGCTTTGGGGGGTTCGCAGGTCCCGATCTACTTTGGGCGCCCCGCCCGCTTCAAGGATCGAGTGGTTTCCCCTCATCCCTCCTCTTCAGGGGGTGGGCGGGAGCTCAGTCTACTTCCGACGCCTTCCTGCTTCATGCCTCTGCCCGCTTCCTCCGACCTGCGGGCACCGATGCCGCTGCCCGTTCCTTGTGCTCCGCCTGTTTGGGCCTCCTGGGGGGCCCTCGTCGCCACGGCTGGATTCGCCCCGCGATTCTGGTCAGCGCACACCCCGGCAGAGCTCCGGGGAGCAGCGGCATCGGCAGCTTCTGGTGCTCTCTCCCCAGAGGTCGGCGGCTCTCGCAAGGCGGGGCCGCGAGGGGCTGGGCCCTGTGGGCGATTGGGGCCTCTCGAACAGAGCACATGAGCTCGGCCTTGGATCCCCTCCTCTCCTCGGGGCCCCGTCTTGGAACCGCCGATCGATGGGCGCCAGCATACTGCTGAAGTACCTGGGCGTGGCGGGCGCAGGCTGCCCGCTGGCGGGCGCCATGGCCGTCTCCGCGCCCGTCGACATACCCTCCACCGCGGCCGACATCCACAGCTCGGAGAGACTCTCGCCTGCGCGCCGCCAGTCCGTGGGCTCCCCCTCCCGGCTCCCCCCGAGATCCTGGCGCTGCACTCTTTTCGCAGCAGCCGTATCGCCGCATCGCCGTGACGAGAGTGCATTGCGCCATCCCCGGGGCCGCGAGCTGCGAAGCAGCTGGGGGCGGCCCGGTTCGGGAGTCGTCAGGGCGCTGGTTGCCCGTGCCGCTCTGCCGCCGTGCACTCACGAGCGAGCCCCGGGACCCGCATGTATCGATCCGACAGGGAGGAGGAGGAGGAGGAGGAGGAGGAGGAGGAGGAGGAGGAGGAGGAGGAGGAGGAGGAGGAGGAGGAGGAGGAGGCTCTTTGTACTTGTACGACACATTATTCTGTGAGAGTCCGAGTATCTGAGGAGCGGGACGAGGAGTAGGATGAATAGCTGCATGAGGAGGATGAGGACAAGGGAAGTATGTTGTTGATGATGCTGATGATGCTGCTGCTGCTGCTGCTGATGATGATGATGATGATGATGATGATGATGATGATGATGATGATGATGATGATGATGATGATGATGATGATGTTGATGTTGATGGTGATGGTGATGATAATGATGATGATGCTGGTGCTGACGATGATCATGGCGATGAGGGGAAAGACGAGGAAAGGAGGAGGAGGAGGAGGAAGAGGAGGAGGACGAGGAGGGGGAGCATGATGGTGAAGGCGAGGAGAAGGGTAGGTTGACGACGATGACGAATGCGATGAGGATTGTGGGGCTGAGGGGGGTGGGAAGCAGGACGGGAAATCAAGGGACGATGGTAAGAAGGACGGGGTCGAGTTTGATGAGACATGCGATGAGGTAGATGATTACGACAATGGCGAGGATGTTGCTGTTCATATCAATATTGGTGAATCTTGGTGGTAATTTCGATGACGGCATTTGTGATGATGGGGATGATGTGGCGATCTCAATGACGATGGCGATGATGTTGTTGTTGATGATGATGACGATGACGATGACGACGATGATGCTGATGCTGAGGATGACGATGACGATGGATGACGTCTATGTTGACGATGATTGTGATTATGCTGATGATCATGATGTTGATGGTGGTGGTGATGCTGATGATTCTGATCAGGGTGACGATGATGGTGCTGTTGATGCTGATGCTGATGATGCTGCTGATGCTGATGATGATGACGATGATGACGATGATGACGCTGCTGCTGACGAGCTCTGGCGAGGAAGATGGGACATGACAGAGCGGGGCGGGGATCATGGTGACGTTGGCAACGACGACGATGTTGATGTTGATGTTGACGTTGATGATGCTGGCGCTGATGATAAAAGTTGATGAATGTGCTGATGCTGATGATGTTGATGATGGTGAAGACTATGATGATGATGCTGATGAGGATTGTGGCGATGATGATGATGGGGCTGATGCTGATGCTGATGATGAGGATGCTGCTGATGATGACGATGCTGCTGTTGAGGATGATGACGATGAGGACGAGAACGAGGATGAGGGTGAGGAGGATTAGGATTCGGATGCGGATGATGATGCTCTGTTGGTGATGGTGAGGATGACGATGGCGAGGATGATGATGCGGATGCTGAGGATGATTATCACTATGAGGAACATGATGGTGATGCTGCTCATGCTGATGCTGGTGATGATGATGCTGATGCTGATGCTGATGCTGTTTCTGATGATGATGCTGATGCTGATGCTGGTGCTGATGCTGATGATGACGATGATGACGATGCTGATGATGATGCTGATGCTGATGATCATGATGTTGATGATGATGGTGCTGCTGCTGATGCTGGTAATGTTGTTGATGATGATGCTGATGATGCTGATGATGATGACGATGATGACGATGATGACGATGATGATGATGATGATGATGATGATGATGATGAATCTGATTATGATGATGCTGATGATGATGATGATGATGATGATGATGATGATGATGATGATGATGATGATGATGATGATGATTGTGAATGGTAATTGGGTCCTGCAAATTGGGGCAATGAAGGAAGCAGCATCTTTGGCACACTCCAGGCACCCTTTGGATTCCTCACTTTCGGCACACTTGAGGCTCCCTTTAGGAGCCCTTTGTTGTCTTGCACCTTTTGAACATGTACGACGCGGGGACTGGTCCAGCGGTTCCTGCGCAGAGGCATCTGCGCGCGCGAAGCGTGTGGTATTGTCCAGCTGATGGAGCAACGTCAGATCCCGAGACCCCGAGGGTCTGCGCGACGTCGCCCAGTCCGCGTGCGCGCGGCCGCTGCGCCCTGCCAAAGCGTGGATGCACTTCGTGGGCCCCCTTCGTGCAATCCAATGCAGATTTGGGCCCCGTGTAGGGGCAGTTTCGAGCTTCTTTTTGACCCATCGTTTCGGATGCAACTCCTGGGGGGTCAAATTCTGATTTTGCCCTGGTCCGAAATCTGGCTTGATCCGTCTTAATCCTGTTTAATCGGCTTAATCCCGCTTAATCCCGCTTAATCCGGCTGAATCCCGCTTAATCCCGCTTAGTCCTGCTTAACCCGAGGCCCACTCTGGCGTAACAGCCCCCCAATTGGGCTTAATCGAATCCTCCTTAATCCTTCCGACGATGACCCCCCAGTAGTTGCCTCCTCACATCGTGGCAGGCTGGGGTCACTTTCGGGACACGCTCGCGCACTGCAGCCTTTGGCCGCCCGCTGGTGCTGCGCATCATAATGTCTGAGCGGGAGGCTGCCGCGCGCGACGTCCGCGGCGCAGCTCAATGGCCACGTGAAGAGCTGCACCGCAACCGTGGGAGAGCCGCCGTCTCAAATGGAGAGTTCAAATCGAGCAGTGTACCATATACAGTGGGGCCGCGCATCAAGAAACCATGTGCTTTTCGTCAGGGTATCCTGGGTTTCTTCGCTCCTCGCGCTGCGCGCTGACTTCCCGCGGCCGTTGAAGGAACTGCTGGGTTCAGGGTGCTCCGGGCTTCCCCTCAGGTGCACCGCGCGCGCGGGTTCTCAGGGTCGGGGTTCTTGCGACGGTTTCTTGCGGCCGCGCCCACACTGTAAGAGAAGGGCTTTCGCCTCCAAGTGCCTCGTTTGGGAAACGTGCGCTCCCCCTACTCTGCGTTTCCCATTAACACTCGCCTGAGTTGATGCTACTGGTGATGATGGCGATGCTGATGGATGGTGATGATGATAATGATGATGATGATGATGATGATGATGATGATGATGATGATGATGATGATGATGGTGGTGATGATGATGATGAATATGATGATGAATATGATTATGATGATGATGCTGATGATGATGATGCTGACGATGATGATGCTGATGATGATGATGATGATGATGATGATGGCTGATGAGGATGGTGGTGATGATGCTGGTGGTTGTGATGATATGGAGGATCTGGACAATGAAAAGCAGGTGGAAGAGGAAGTTGCGGATAACGAGGAAAAGGTGGCTGGCTGTTGTAGCGAGGGTCTCTTGGTAGCCCGAAGAACTGGGCCGTGTCCTTCGCCATGGCCCAGGGGGTCAAGATCAAGGCGCTGCCCAAACTGCTGGCGTCGCCGTTCGCCAAATTCTGTGACCTGAGAAAGGTCTGGTTACTGCTCCTCCTCGTTCGCCCTCCCCTTCGTCTTCCTCCTCCTCCTCCTTTTCTTCCTCCTCGTCTTATTCCTCTTCCTCTTCGTCTTCCTCTTCCTCCTGTCCCTCATCTGTCTCCTCGCCCCTCCCTGTCGGTCGGCTCGGGTGCGCCAGTATGGGCGGGGACTGCATCGCTCACTACTCCAGATGCCCGCACGTCGCCGACTGTCTTGCCGCCTGCCTCTCCTTCCTCCCTCCTCGCGGGTTGGGTTGCCTCGAGTCCATCTTCGCCTCTTGCCGCTTCCCTCCCCTCGCTCTGGGTTGTTGCGGGTTCCTCCCCCTGCTGCCTGCACGCCACTGCTTTTGATTGTGTGCACAGTGGCAATGCCAGCGACGAGCGTGAACATAGGAGTTTTGAGTTCACCACGAATCTGTTTCGAGCTAGTCCCCATCAGCAGGCCAGGCATAACAGACAGGTCAAGGAGCTGCTTAAGGGACGATGTGGCCCAGAATCCGCGCCCACCCCTTCAGCTTCTTGTTGTTCCTCGCCCCTTCCTCCTTCTCAGGGGGAGGGACGGCCCGGTCCCACTGGAGGTCAACCAGAAGCTCGCGGCAGCTTCGGACCCGGACGCCCAAGACACCAGACCAACGCAGCGTAGACACGGCAGGCAGCGAGCACGGTGGGAAAATGATTTGCACCAGTTTGTGCATCGCGTGGGGTCGTCGCCAACACTTGGCCAGACATCCCTGGAAACACGACTGCGGAACAATCGGGAAACAATTATCTCTTCGACCGCCGCCCACCCGCGCCGCCTTCGAGGAGGCCTCCCAGTCGGCGGATTCGAGCTTCCTGCGTCCTTCGTCCTGCGTCCTTCGTAATCCCTTACCTTGATTGTATAGGTAGAGGTCGCTGGCCAAAGGTCGACAGCAAGGCCGAAATTGCCAGGAAGGGCCAATGGCAACCACTGAGAGCTGCCTCTTTCAGTAACCGACAATGTCTCCATGCCCGTAAGTCCGTACCTCCCCTCGCTCCCCGCCTCCGCAGAGTAGGTGTCCGGGGCTGATCATTCAAATCGTTTACTTATGAATTCGCTGGTGCATCCCAAATAACAGTCTGATCAGCGTCAGAATCCAGCAACAACTTATGTCATATCGTTTCAAGAATGTTGCGAGGAGAGGGGTGCAGATCGCCCAGCGGCCAGCAGGCCTGCAGGTCCAAGAGGTATTGTTTTGTGTAGCTGTCGAGCGGGTTGGTCACACGGTGCATGGTCGCCTGCTTCTTTTGTTGGTGGTCATACAATCCAAACTAGTGATCTGCTTCATCACTATTTTGAATAGTCCAGTCTTCGTGAGGCCATTCACGATATCCGCTTCAGTCGGTAAGTGAATCAAGTAAGGTACGCGTCCACTCAACTTTTCCTTTCTCGCACTCAGAGTTGCGAGCTTTCCTGATTTGTCAACCGGACCTTCAACATTACAACACAATTGCCAACAATCGTCACCATCAACACGTTTTAATATACATTTACGTTCTACATATATATGTGTATATATACGTATATCTATATACCCTGAGTTGGCACCCAGACCTGTCGAATAGTTTCATCATGTCCTCAGCCCTATGTTGCTTGTCGTCGCATAAGATGATTTCGTTGATACGCAATGCTATGAACTTAGCCGTCTGATTCACCTTGTTGCCTGCATTGGTCTCATCTGAACACGTCGAGTGATAAATCCTTGAGGGTGCGTCTTACCACCGGGAAGCCAACAATCTTGTTCATGGGCCACTCATCGAAAAGACAACCGAATATCATCCATATTATGTCCCATCAAGAAAACAGCCATGCTTTCCTGTGGGTACGCAGTTTTCGTGCTACCATGCCCTGCATCTCCAACTGACACACGTCGAATTGGATATTCAATAGCCTGGATGTGGAGTCCTGCCATGTTCATGTTTCGCTTCGCGCGTTCCACAATCAAGTTCGCTTGCCTCAAGTGTCAATCGTCGCTTTCTTCACTATCGGTTGAAGTTGAGCTGTTTGACAATCTATATATTCGGCGTTTGGCAAAGCCATGGTTGTGAACATACTGCTGAACGCAGGTCGTGTACCCGCCGGGCGTCATATTTTTTTGTCCTTGGGTTTCACAGGAATCTCGATCCTTTTTCAGGCCCTCTGTGAACACGTGCTTGTGGATGAACAAGCGCCTGATCGTCAGCACCTCATGGCCCATTCCCATGCGCGTGACTGGTAGTTCATGTGTTTTTGTTTCACCGAACTTCTTCTCCATGGGTCCTCGACTCCACGTCAGGTATGTTGAACGAAGCAATCCAATAATGCCATCCACATGAACCGTCCATAGCATCATGCTATCGCTAAGTATATAGCTCACATTTTTCTCGTTGAGCACATTTTGAATGCCATGGCGTTTGTCCATTCCATGAGTTGATAGCGCCAACTGCCACAAGAAAGGCGCGCCCATTTTGCCTTAGATGGATTTGAGTAGTAATATTCATGCAAACAATCAATACCATCCCTGGGATCCTGATGTTGCTCTTCTCATACTCCCTGACGCTCCTCCATACATTCGCCGATTGTTGTGAGATGACGGTCCGCTGCTCCCGAACTTGAATTCCCATGTGCGTCGCATATCGTCGTACCTGATCGTAGTTGAACAGATTTTCCTGATGAGTGTCGCATTGAGCTCTGCTTCTGAGAGTGAGGGGAACCTCGCCCACAGAAAGAATGTTATATTACATGTTATCCTGTTGTCCTTATCATGCGCATTCTTCCATGTCTTGACCTAACTGCATCAATCACGCTGGAATTTTCCGTATCCCGATAATGTGTTGCCTTGAAGCATTTGTTATCAATGAATGTTTTGGTTTCCGTTCTGTCAGCCATTTCAACAAGTGGCCAGTTTTTAACGATGTCTTCCTCCGTCAGGATGTTGCCCGACTGCGCACAGATCGCCTCACCAGTGTGCAAGCGAAGTAGAAGCACCTGTTCTTCTTGAGCGGCCCTGGAATAACGCAGTTTGAATTACCTGATTGCCAACGCGTCTTGTTGCCACCCATCTGCTGCAAGTTATCAGAAACTTATTGCGCCAGCTTCATCACGATGATATTCATCGAGCTCTTTCTGAGCTGAGACAAACATGAAAGGTATGCTTATCTAGAATCTGATGAGTACTGATCAGCTGGTCCCCGAAAGCTGTGACAGCCTCCAGTGTCTTTGTACGCTTCGTGCCTGTCAGACGCGGTGGTGATTTCACATGTGAATCTTCCGGTCAATCTTGTTCGAGAACACGTAGCGGCCTCTTCGTAGATGGACGTTCAGAGGCTGCTCCAAATCGCACTCGCTTGTTAACCCTGCTGTTAACTGGAAGCTGTGATGGTGATACCTTGATTTTCGAACTCTCTTCCAATCGCCTGGTGATGTCGTGATTTCGCGATTCGTGAACTGAGGCTTTTGGTGTTGATGCTGGTTTCACAACTGCAGATGATCCATAGTCGACCTTTGGGGGCTCGCCAGCCTCGCAGATGATAATGCTCTTCGCCTCCTCGACTGTCTCAGCTGCTGCTGTTCTGAATCTGCTGGAGTCATTGTTGATGTTGCCGCCGGAGGTGTTTGTGAAGATGCTCGGATCGATCTTCGAGTTGCCAGTGGTGTCGCTGCAGTTGGATTCGTAGACCTCGTGGGTGTTACTGTCGACGGTGCCGGTGTTGGAGATGTCGGAGGTGCTGGAATAGGAGATAATGCTGATGCTTGAGTAGGAGATTGGGATGTAGTATATGTCGTTGTTGATCCTTTCGTCGCTGCTGTTGTTGATGCCGATGGGCTCCTGCCTGATGAACTCGAAGTTCTAGGTTCATTCTGCCGATTTTCTGGTGATTTGCTTAGTTCCCAATATCTTCTTGCCAGTGCCCTTGGAGGTGACGTTGTTCTCGCCAGTATGATTGGAAGTGGTGTTGATGTCTCCGGAGTCCGCTGACCAAAAGCTGGAGGTTGTGGTGCAGGAGCTCTGGTGCCATTCCCCCCGTTGGTAAACTGCTCGTCACTGATCATGCTCGCGTCGTCCACTTTGATGTTCTCCGGATCTTGTTCACGTTGCTACTCGTTAACATCGCGCTGTCGAACTCGCGTGGTCGCTTGCGGTGGAAAAGGGTGCCTTGGTGGAAATGGAGGTCGAGGCGGAGTAGTATTGTTGATGCTGTCGCCTTCCTCCTGCCATGTCATGTCCGAGCTGTCAAAGACCTCAGGGCTGCTCGGCGTTCTCACCGCCTGCCCAGGTGCCGGTGGTGGTCCTGGAGGCGATCCTCCCGGTGTAACTCCTTATTGCGAAGGCCTTACGGCCGGTGCCGCCGACCCTGAAGGGGAACGACGACGGCGGCGACGGCGGTAGCGACGACGACGATGCTGACGTGGGTTGAGTCCTCAAACGTGCTTCTTGGGGTTTCTTCCGAGCGCTCTCGGGGGCCTCTGGGGGGATGTTTGGGGGCCTCTTGGGAGCCTCTTGGAGCCTCTTTGGGCTTCCTGGGGGCCCTTTGGGGCTTCTCGGGGCTGAGGGCTCGAAATGTCCGTTCGGGTCCCCCGTCTGGGCACTCTCTTGGAACCGTCTTGGGGGCCTCTTGTGCCGTCTTGGAGGCGTCTTGGGCCGTCTTGGGGCACTCTTGGGCCGTTTGGGGACTGTCTTGGAGGCCTCTTGGGCCGTCTCGGGGCGACCTTGGGGGCCTCTTGGGCCGTCTTGGCGCGTGGGGAAGCGGAAGAGGCGAGAACGCCAAAATTCTTGAAAAACGTTTTGGGAAATCCATGATTTTTGCCTCTTGGGGCTCTCGTGGGAACGGTCCTGGAGGCCTCTTGGGGCGTCTCGCAGGCCTCTTGGGCCGTCTGGAGGCCGTCAAGGCGTCTTGGACAGATCATTCGGCGATTCGGTGCCCTCTTGGATCGTCTTGAGGGCCTCTTGGGGCACTCTTGGCCCGTCTTGGGGCTTTTTTGGGCTCCGGGATTCCCCGGGGGGCGGCGTAAAAACCCGGGACCCTCCCTGGGACCCAGCCCGGGCCCCCCCCCCCCCCCGGGCGGGGAAGGGATCAAAGGGAAAGGGCTTCCCTTCGACTCAATTACGACGTTGCTCAATTTCGCTTTGGACTGGCACGCTTCAGGAGGAGGCCCTGGGAGAGGGGTAGAAGCAACGACGCTGTGGGGAAAGGGGAAGGAACGACGACGACGACGAGGAGGGAACAGACGGAGAAGCCTCTTCCACACGCCGACAGGGTCGCCGGATTCAAGCAGCTGTGGTAAGTGCTCAGGTGGTTGCCCTCGCACTGCTTCCGCTGGTGGTGCTGGCGGTGCTGGTGGCGCTGGTGGCGCGCCAGGGAGATTTTGGATGTAGTTTAATTATGCTGTCGTGTTGTGGTCCCTGCCGATGTACCCGGATTGCTCGAGCCAGTGGAGATCCAGGAGGAGGTTGTTGACCACCTTGTTCCCGTACTGGTAGTTCATCTCGTTCGGAAGATAGTGGCCCTTGCAACGGTAGATCCAGTACTCGGCCGTGGTCATTTGGGGCGATATCGATGCTGGAACTGTCCAAGAAGTCTGAAATCTTGTACTGCCTTACCTCGTCGTCGTCTGTCAAGGCCTCGAAGCAGTAGAACAAATTGCTGCAAGCGTTGACGTGTTCCATGCTTCGATTTATTATCATGAGATCCAACACCTTGATGTTAGGATTCAAGTCCTTCGTGATGTATTTGTCTTGCTTGGTGCAGTCCCAGATGAGCTGGCGACCAACAATAGCCTCAGTCTTGATATGCTCATTGCACGCACATCTTCCGAAGCTGATTCCATCTATCTTGATGCCCCACTCGTCTCCTGCATACTTCACTGGCAGTTCCCATACCTTCGGTGGAAACGTTGATTGTGCTGATGGTGTAGTGTGCCTTTTGCTGTTCGTGCAGATCACCGTACCAATCACCTAAGGCTCGAATGGTACCGTGCCTTCGACGATGTCCAGCAAGTCAGCGTAGTGACAATATAAGTGCGGTCCAACAGGACCGTATGTTGGTAGCAGTTGCTGGAAAGTCAAGCTGCCATTAGGTGATGGAGTCGAATGTGTCGGATAGGTACGATGCACGGGTAGCCATTCCATACCAGTATCGCGCTGGTACGTCTCAGATGAAGCAGCTCGCAGGGACTGTTCCACCCCTCTTGATCTTTCTTTTCTGGTGCATGGTAAAGGTCAAGAAGTTCGCCAACCTTGATCTGAGAGTCCAGCTGCTGGGGCGTCAATTTGTTGGCGATGGCCAGTCGCTCCTCAACAATCGTCCGCAATACAGTTTGTTTCGAGATGAGTTTTATTCTGATATTGGAGTCAAGCATGCCTGGAAGATCTCAGGGGTTCCTTTGTGTGTCGTCGTTGTCGCTGAAGTCTCGTCGTAGAAGTCCCGATGGGTATAACCCAGCAGTGCGTTGTCCTGTGCGCTGCCTCCATAATTCAGGAGAAGATTTTGCGCCATCGTCGCCTCGTGCACCAGCGTTTCCTTGGAGATGATCAGGCCCTCTTGCTTTGCTTCTGCTGCTGCATTCTTGAAAGCGATGGCCTTAATCATCCTGAATAGTGATTCCACCAAGCCAGTAGTCGCATGCTTGCCGCTGTTGGGGTCCGTGTCTGCAAGTTCCCGTCTGATTGTGTATATGTCAAGAGTCGTTCCCACAAGATCAGAGGTCAAGAGTTTTTTTTGGATCTGGAACGACAGTCTCCACTGGCCCAAAGAATCTGTTCCACGATTCGTTCAAGCATCTCATGTACTCAGGACCTGTCTTGTCTATCGTAACTCCTGTGACTTTGTGCCGAATGTGTTCGTCAACCATGATCAGCCAAAGCTTCTCCCACAGGAAGAAGAGACCGCCCTGATCCTTTGTTTCTCGACAAACGTCACTGATACACTGCAGTGCTGGAATGTCGGCTGACCTGTTGCTTGCCTTTCTTGCTGGATCCGCCGTCGTACTTGCCTGAGACCATGGAGTGCATTCTGGTGCAAGATCTGCACCTGTATGTGAAATGTCTAGCTGATGCTCGCAATGCTATCTGAATGCTTTTTACGGCTGAGATCCCATTCGTAGAGCATATATGGGACGCGCAATTGTGACATTGTTTAGTGCGGCCTTGTAGGTGAATGTGCTGCTGCCCGAGAAGTGTTCCTGAATGTCCACGCTCGTGATGCCATTATGCTGGAGGTGTTTCGTGAAGTCTATGTTGTTATGTGGAGGGATCATCGTCAGTCTAGTCTTGCTATACAATTTCTCCAGAATGCCGATGTAGTTCTTTATGAACCGGTCATGTTGATGAGGTTGGGGTATTTCTGGCAGCAAATCGCCTGAGTAGGATGGTGTCTTGAACGATCTCCATGCCTTCCAACACAAGTGTGTCTTTGTCGCTGCTGTCTTCCTCGTCTGCGATTGTTTATGATCATGTTCTTTACCGATGTAGCTGCTGCCGCGAGTTGTTGCCATTCTGTTGACAAAGTGGTGGTCACTCGTAGTCGATGTTTGCTGTGCCTGTCGATGTAGCTTCTGGAGACTGTCGTTCGGTGCCGTCAATTGTCGCATGATGGTGAGGTTTTCTGGTGATGAAGGTTCCGTCGTTGCCGAACTCGTCATGCTTCTTTTGTGAGACGGACTCGCTCTGGTGCTAGATTTCAATGGTGCCGTATCCGCGTGGATTTCTGCTGAACCATGCTGGCATGTCTTAGGATTCAAATGCCAACATATTTGCATATGATACAGGTACTGTTGATCCGTCTCGTCCCGAATGTTCTCGTTGTCGATCGGTGCGATGTAGTGACCAGAGTCTGTGTGCAAGAGCCGGACATGGATCTGAGGTGCCTTCTTAGCAGGGCGAGTGCTTTCAGGGAGCACGAGGATACCACCACCATCATCAATTACAGTTGCAATCATTATTGCACGATGTCCTGTTGATGGTGATAATGGCATTACTCGCGGACACCAATTGCCCATGCTACCGATCATGTCGCCTGTGAACATTGTTTTTGTCATCGCTGGAGTCTTTAGTGGTTACACTGCTTTAGCAATGCTGGGAGTCGGTTTGCCGTCGATGCCGTGAAGTGCGTTTTGGTCGGAATTGTCGAGAGTTCTTCCCCATTCAGGAAGTCGCGTTAGTACTATCTGACCATGTCCGTGCCGATAATTCCTGATGAAGCTCCTGGGGCGTACACCAATCCATACCGCTTGGCACCTCGAGTAGCATGGTAGCTGGAATGGTTCTCACTCGCAGCATGGGTATCTGTCGGCTCACTGCCACCATTATCGTAACACATATCATGAACCGTTCGGACCACGGAATCCAGACCACCCAGATCCATTCCTCGAGGAAGTCGCCGAGGAAGATCCTCGCTGACGTCAGGACTTGGTGGTCACATCTCAGCTGTAGTCTCCTCTGGAATCATGTTGGGAGAGTCCTCGATGAAGGTGGTCGGCCTCGCGATCTCGATGGTGGTGGTGTCAGAGGTGTTTCTTGAGCTTCTGGTAACCGATTCTCCCAGTGTGTAAGATGGTATTGTCGGCAGTGGTGACTATGATGAAGCGGTGGTGCTCATGTGATTCTGTCCATGCTGCCTTAGCGCTCTCTTGGTCGTGTCCGCCATGAGGTACGACTCTTGGTTGTACCAGCTGCTCGAGGTCTCATAGTCATCTTCATCCTCGTTACACTTCTCATCATAGTAACCTTTTTTCTTACCCGTGCCTTTGCCTTTGCCTTTCCGTCGATACCCTTTACCTCGACCACGACCCTTTACCCGTGCCTTTTGCCTTTGTTGGTCTTGCTTTTGCTCTTGCCTTTGCCCTTTTCCTGGTCTCAAGCTCGATGGTTCCTGTTGCCGTGTCCATGATCGTCTGTGTCCTGTTTGCTTTCATGCTTGTTGTTAGCTGGGCAATCACCAGTCTTCTGCAATTTTGATCCGCCTTGGCTGCTAGATTTTCCTTTTCCTCTTCCTTTGCCAGGACCCTTGCGGCTCTCGTCGTAGTTATCGTCTTCTTGATCTTCGTAGTACTCGTCATCGTAATCCCACCAGATAACCTGATCCTCATACTATTGCCACCGACCATAGTCGTTGTAATATCCTTCATGTCACCAATCTTCTTCATTTTCATAAACAAACCAATGATCTTCATACTGATCGGGGATGTTGTGGGTCTGGCTCTTCTTGGCGAGTCTGGTGAGGATGGCCCTGATATCGTTGTATCGCCGAACGTTTTCGTCAATGTTGAGTGTGTTGTCATCGATACGCTTTGCCGAGAGATCACAGCCCTGCAATAGTATATAGCTCTTGCAGACCACGTTGATGTTGAGGCCGGCCTGATCCGAAGCCGCATCATAGATGAGCTCAAAGTCCGCAATCTATTGACCGAGATCTCGAGGCCCTAGCTTTAAATGGAAACTCGAGTGTCCTGCTAATAGAGACTGTATCCTCGCTCCAACCATGTAGTGAATAAACTCAAACCTGAATGGGGATGCTACTGCGCCGCTCACTGGGTCGGCCCTTTCTCGAACGAGAGCTCAACCATGTACTCCATGCCTCCGCGTTCCACCTGGAACGTAGTGCTTGCTCATACGCTCCACCTTGTATTCGCTGCAACACAAGAAGTGCCGCCACGCTGTCATCCTCCACGCTCTTCTTTCTCCACCACACTGACAACTTCTGCAAGTCTTTCTTCACTCCATCACTCCATACTTTGCGATGCCCGGCTTCCAGCCGGGCGACACAGACCGAGTACTCTCTTCCAGTGGTACAGATGATCTATTACCAAATATCCTGCCATGAGTTGACTGAACTGGCGTAAACCTCACCCGGTGTAACGACATCGAAACCGTTGATCGGATATCTGTAGGCTGCTGAACGCGTCCAGCTTCAAAGAAGAAGTCCCACCAGTCTATGTCCTCGAAGTCGTCGAAGATGCTGGCGTCGTTGTGGGAGACGGTCACTTGCTTGATGTTCCGTCACACCTCGCTGAAGATGCTGCTCACCTGAGTCTCGAAGATGCTCCACTGCTTCTTGATCCGTCGCACCGCCGCAGAGCTGCTGCCCACCTGCGCGATGACGCGGCTCGCCTGCTTGTTGAGCCGGTCCGCGACGTCTACCGCGGGCAGCGCTGGCCTGGCGGGGCGGGGCCGCGCGCGCGGCGCCCGTGGGCGGCTCCGCCACCAGAGCGGCGATGGCTCTGATCTCGTAGGGAGCTTGGGCCGAAGCAGCTGCGGAACCCCAGGCGCGTGACATGCTCAGCTCCGCGCCCTGCTCCTGTCAGTACACAGTCACACTGATAAGAACACAGGTGCTGCATGGGTGCTTCACACCAGTGCTCTGAGGTATCTTCTCGCTTCCGCCCCCCTGTCCCGGCGTACATCCATGCCTCCTTCGTCCTCCCTTCTCCCTCGTTTCTCTCTCCTCCATGTTGCCTCCTTCCTCTTCCCTCTTGGAGGAGGTGAGAGGAGAAAGGAGGAGGGGCCAGGGATGGGGTGGGGAGGAGGGGAATGAGAGCTCCAACAAGGCCTTTCTGGCCTCGACCTTGGGCCAGATCGAAGACGCAGTGATATGCCAGCTGCACGGCTACAGAGACGTGCCCGAGTACTATTCCAAGAACAACGCGCGGACGGGTCTCGGGAATATCTCGGTGCCTTCTCCTCATCCCTCCTCTCGCTTATCGTCCTCGTCGTCGTCCTCCTCCCACATCTCCGCCTCCTCCGCCCTCTCGGTACCCACGCTCATCTTGAGCGCCATGGACGACATCGTGTCCTCTCCGCGGCTCTTCCCGATGGAGGAGATGAGGGCCAACCCGCGCATCTACACGGTCCTCACGCGCCGCGGCGGCCACATCGGGTGGTGTTCTGGCGGCCTGCGGGGATCTGGCAGCGCTGGCAGCTGGGCCGACAACATCGCCTCCTTGTTTCTGAGCGCCTGCGTCGGCTCCTCCTCCTCCTCCGCTTCTTCCTCCCCCTCCTCCCCCTCCTCCCCCTTCTACCCCTCGTTCCTCCTCCGCCTCCTCCTTTTCCCTCTCATTTCCCTCTTCCTCGCCTTTCTCCTCCTCCTCGCTCCTCCTCGCTCCTCCTCGCCACTATCCTCCTCCTCGCCCCGTAGCCATTTCGGGCTCAAGGTCGGCCAAGGCTTGTGCCCTTCGACGCGGCACGCCCTGGGGTGGGCATCGAAGTCGCAGCAGCCAGCTTTCTAGAGCTTCTGTCGAATGGTAGAGGCGAGGGTTGCGCCCCTTCGCGGCGAGGCACTGCAAGTAGAATTTGCGAGTGGGCTGGGATCCATGATGGAGGCCTTTTGGCTGCGGCCAGGACTTGGACACTTTACTTGTGTGTCCTCGCCCTCCCTTTTCCCTTCCTCTTCTCCTCCTCCCACTTCCCCCCTCCTTTTCCCACCTCCTCCCTCCTCCTTCCTCCTTCGTCCGTCCGCCTCCCTCCTCCCTCCTCCCTCCTCCCTCATCCTCCTTTCTCCTCCTCATTCTCCTCTTCCTTCCTCCTCCCCCCCTCTCTTCCCTGATTATTCATCCTCTCCCCCCCTGCGTCCCCTCAGTGATCCTCCCACCTCCTCTTGCCTCTTCCCTCATCCTTCCCCTCTTCATCCTGGGAAGACCCCCTTCCGCCGCAGAATCATAGCATTGGTCTGCAGATCCACGGCTCCGTGGATAGCATGATGTTTCATTTGCGGTGCTCCGCGGATCCCATTTCCTCTGGGTCCCGGATGTTAGTATTATTATAGATTTATTCCCGCGACATAATGGATCCATCGTTTTTCGAAACGAACTTGGATCCGGCGGGAGTTGGCCGGGCCCGCTGTGGCGTTCGAGGAAACTTATGTTATGGGCGGACTATCGGGAGATGGCCAGGCCCGCGGTGGCGCTCGAGAAACCGCATATTATGGGAGAAGTGAAAGGAGGTGGCCGGGCCCGCTGTGGCGCTCGAGCTTCCGACTTGGACACTTTGCTTGTGTGTCCTCGCCCTCCCTCATCCCTTCCTCTCCTCCTCCTCATCCTCCTCCTCCTCCTCCTCCCACTTCCCCCCTCCTCCTCCCACCTCCTCCCTCCTCCTCCTTCCTCCTTCGTCCGTCCGCCTCCCTCCTCCCTCCCCCTCTCCTCCCTCATCCTCCTTCTCCTCCTCTTTGTCCTCTTCCTTCCTCCTCCCCCCCTCTCTTCCCTGATTATTCCTCCTCTCTCCCCCCCTGCGTCCCCTCTGTTATCCTCCCACCTCCTCTTGCCTTTTCCCTCATCCTTCCCCCCTTCATCCTGGGAAGACCCCCTCCGCCGCAGAATCATAGCATTGGTCTGCAGATCCACAGCTCCGTGGATAGCATGATGTTTCACTTGCGGTGCTCCGCGGATCCCATTTCCCTTGGGTCCTGGATGTTAATATTATTATAAACTTATTCCCGCGAAATAAATGGATCAATCGTTTTTTTTTCACACACAGGAAATTTGATCCGCGCAACACAGAAATATGATCCACGAGACTTCCCCACACCCGGAAAAAAAGGGATCCAATTGGATCCGTTGATGTTCTCATACTTTTAGTCCACGAGGGAAACACTTTCAGCCTGGGGATGTATTGCCACTCTTTACTTGCCTGGGCCCGCCATGGCATTGGCTCGAGCCAATGCTGCACCCGTGCCCGCTTCATGCGCGCGTTCTACCGCTTTCAATCCGTCTGTTAGAAAAAATGGTCCGCCTTCATATCGCCTCTTCATGTATTTCCCTAGTCTCCTCGTCGTCTCCCTCGTCCTCCTCCTCCTTCTCTTTCTCCTCCTCCTCCGCCCCTTCCTGCTCTTCTTCCCCCTCCAGTGGCCGCGCGGGCTTGGCCCCCGGGCGCGCCAAGCTGTGATTCGGTTCGCGCCCAGCTCCAGAGAGGGCCCCCGCCGCGGCGCGCCGCTCGCACGCGTGTCGGGGAACAAGGGGGGCCAGACTGGACGGGGCTCAGCGGAGGAAATGTACGGTAAGTTTTTGTCTTTTGGACCGGCGGCGACCTCGCCGCCAGCGTTCATTGTTGAACGCCGCCGGCGACCAACCATCGGTCGACGCTGAACGATCTGACGTTTCGGAAACGCCCGATCTTTCAAGGTTGAAGGATCCCCGCGGTGTCAGGGTGCTGTTCGCCCGTTTTCCCCCATTTCGGCCTCCTGGACGCCTTCGTCGCCTTCGCTGGATTTGGAGGAAGCCTTCCCCTCTCCCCCTGCCTCCTTGTGTTAGGTCGGGCGTGTCCTCCTACAGGCAGATTTCGAATGACACATGAAAACAATACCCCAACAGTGCTTGAAACAAGTCCGAAAGAGCAAAGCAATCGTCCCGGTCCAGCTTGTGACCATCTTTGAACCCGACTCCTGCAGAGGGACAGGCCCGACTTACCCTTTGTGCGCGCCGCCAGTGTGCCTCGTCTTCCTGTCTCCCCCGCTTGGCAGGGGGCGACCGCCGCGCCATGACTGCGCCGACGGCCACGCCCAGAGCCCACGGGCAGGGGGCCGCGCGGGTGCGCCCGCCGCGATTCGGGGGGCAGAGAGGGGGAGCAGGGAGGAGGAGGAGGAGGAGGAGGAGGAGGAGGAGGAGGAGGAGGAGGAGGAGGAGGAGGAGGAGGAGCAGGAGGAGGAGGAGGAGGAGGAGGAGGAGGAGGGAGGAGGAGGAGGAGGAGAGAAGCGTTCTGCGACGTGGGGGGAGGTCGGGGAGTGGCAGGCCTCCAGGCCTCCCAGCTTCAGGCGATCGCACGCATGGGTCACGGGGGGTGGATGAGCGACGGGCCCCGTTCTCCGGGGGGAGATCTCGGATTTCCGCCGCCGAGCGAGGCGGCACCGGCCGCATTTTGGGGAGGGCACCTCCCCCTATCCATCGACTGATTTGGCGACCACGCGCCAAACCCATGGGTCGCTAATCCCTGGCGGCGAGCGAGGGGGGGGGGGAAGTGGGAAGGAGAAGGCCTTTTCAGAAGGCGGCGGGGCTTCTCAGAAACCCTCGCATCATCTGAGGATTTTTTTTGTGTCTTCGGGGAAGGCTTAGAAAACTTCTCAGAAGGCCCAGGGACTTCCGAGCCTTTGAGAAGGCCCGTCCCTTCTCACTTCTCCCTCTCGCTCGCCGCCGAAATCAATGTTTGCGCGCCCCCAGCAGATAGGGGGTCGGAGTGGCTGGAATCGGAGGATGGCGCCGCATCGCCTGTGCATCCGCGCTTTGCCTGGCGGCACATGACGCCTATGATCTTGCACACTCAAGGGGCCCAGGGACACAAATAAATATACAAATCCCAGTAATCCTTATATTCTTCCATATTTTCTGGGGCTTCATCTTCCCCCCACTTCCCATATGTTCTTATTTTTCTTTGGAATCGACGATTACTTGTGTCTGTGTGTCTTCTTCCCTCCTGGCACACGCCGCGACACCACTACTCATGTAGCGACCGCCCACTTGGAGCGCCTCAAATCGTATTGTGACGGCCTTGTGGCCAGTGCCGCCGACCCTAACGACGACGACGAGGACGAGGAGGAGGAGGGGCAGGAGTAGCAGGACACCACTACTCATATAGCTTCCGCCCGCCCAAGCGGGCTGGATCTGGAGGGCGGCCTGGATTGCAGAAGATGCTCTCGCGCCGGAGCGGGGCGTGGCGACCACTTCTCTCGGAGGCGACCACAAGGGCGACGAGCCCAGGGGGGGGGGTGCAATGCATGTGTCCAGGGGTTCGGTAGCAAATCATGGGAGCTCTGTGTACCCTCGCAATTTCGTCTTTGGCGTCGATTAGCGCCTGGGAGTCGATGAGGTGTGTCGATGTACGGTCGGTTCGCGTCGATTTAGCTCCGATTCAGCGTCGATTCAGCGTCGATTCAGCGTCGATTTAGCGTCGATTTGCGTCGATCCGTAAGAGCCGACAAGACGGTATGGGAGGCTCCCATGATTACCAGCCTGGAACATATCCCTATCCTTATGCTGGGCACCTCCTCATCACGATGCCAATCTTAGGGATTCCCTTACTTTCTCAGGGCGAATCCCTAAGATTGTCATCGCCTTTTGGCGTGTCAATCTTAGGGATAGGGATACGTTCGAGGCTGGTAACATGAGCTGCCACCGAACCGGGGCGCCGATGGGCCCCCTGTCTTCGGCGAGGCTCCGTGGCGAGTGCGCGTCGCTGCCCGCTCCTCGGGACCCCCCGCCCCCCCGTCACCGCCCTCGGTGTCTCTTCGGGCCTCGAGCTCGCCCCCCTCCTCCTCCTCCTCCTCCTCCGCCTCCTCCTCCTCCTCCTCTTCCCCCTCCTCCTTCTCCATTCCTTCTGCTCCTCCTCCTCCTCCTCCTCCTCCTCTTCCCCCTCCTCCCCCTCCCTCCTCCTCCTCCTCCTCCTCCTCCTCCTCCTTTTCCTCCCCTCCTTGTCCTCCTCCTCCTTCTCCTCCCCCTCCTCCTCCCCCTCCTCCTCCTCCTCCTCCTCCTCCTCCATTCCTTCTGCTTCTCCTCCTCCTCCTCCTCCTCCTCCTCCTCCATTCCTTCTCCTTATAGACAACGCCTCCCTGTCGCACCCCGAGGCCAGCTTTTAGGGCGGACCTGGCGTTTCGCCTGAGACTCCCTCACCAATTGTGATACTGAAGCTTTAAACATGCCAACAGTTTCACGGGTGGAGGGCGTGTCGTTTTCAACATGTGGCTCGCGCCTTAGCGCCGCGCACATTCTTTGTAACCATTTGCAAGGGTTTCACGGATTGAGGGCGGGTGGTTTTCAAAATGTGGCTCTCAACATTTGCAAGAGTTTCACGGCATCAGGGCGGGTTGGTTTTCACAACGTGGGTTCATTCCGCGCACATTCGTTTTCAACATGTGCAAGAGCTTCACATGTTCAGGGCGGTTCCTTTTCAAAATGTGGCTCTCGCCTTAGCGCCGCGCACATGACTTGTAATTTGTTGTGCAAGGGTGTCGCGGATTGAGGGCGGTTCTTTTTCTAAATGTGGTTCTCGCCTTAGCGCACATTCGTTTCGAATATTTGCAAGCATCTCACTGATTCCCATGATCAACGTACCAAAAATAGTGTTTTGGAAGGATTTAGGAACCTGTGTGTGCAACAGTTATGTTGATTCGCGGTGCTGAAATCCATAAGATGGAGTTATGGCACGAGTCCAGATCTCCAGAACGCAGCAGTCAGGTTGATACGTGGCGGTGAACTCCCGAGATCAATGTTTTGGCATGCTTCAGGATCTTCAAACGGTTGTCTTCCAACGGGGCAGTTCGTTCAATGGGAATGAACCGTTGTGGGGGCCTATGAAGAGGGAGCTTGGAGGGAGGCTCAATTCTAACATCGTTGATGACGCTTGGGTTTGCACTGGTCCTCCTCCTCCTCCTCCTCCTCTCCCGACTCGTCCTCTTTCCTCTTCCACCTCCCCGTCCATCCCCTTCCTCCTTCTCCTCCTCCTCCTCCTCCTCCTCCTCCTCCTCCTCTTTCTCTGCTTTCTCCTCGAGCTCGCCCCCCCCGTCGAGGGGCCAGAGCGCCGCGGTCTCCGGGCGTTTTTGTTGTTGCTCTCTCGGAGGAGTGCCGCGCGCGCGAAGAGCGCGCGGGGGTCCGCGCGGAGTTCTCTGCTTCTCCTCTCGTTCGCCGCTAGTTTCTGCTGCCCCAGTCTCCACTCCCGGAGGAGGAGGAGGAGGAGGAGGAGGAGGAGGAGGAGGAGGAGGAGGAGGAGGAGGGAGGAGGGAGGAGGAAGGAGAGAGGAGAGAGGAGGGAGGGAGGAGGAAGAAGTCCGTAGCCCTGGCTCAAGCCATTTTGGCTCAAGCCCTGGCTCATGCCAGACGCCTGGCCCCATAGCCGTTGGTTCAACCGGCGGACGGGACGCGCATGGCAAAGATGGCTGCGGGATCATGCTCGGAGGCACCGGAGCCGGTGCTGCGAGGCGCGGCAGGGGCGCGCGCTTCGGCTGACCGCCTCGTCTCCAAGCTGCTGGCCGAGATCGGCCGACTTCGAGCCCAGCTGGGAGGTGGCCAGGCCTCAGGCGCGGTCGCTGTGGAGGTCGCGCGCCGCGAGGCCCTGGCCCGCCCTGCGCTCACGGCCAGAGTTTGCGGTCGTGAGGAACCTCACGCGGACCGGTTGGTGAGGAACGTCGCGCTCCACGCCAAGGTGTGCCCTTCTGCGGGGGCGCCAATGGCGGCCTGGCGGGGCGCGCAGCACGGCCCTCGGTTGGGGGCCGACGGCGGCGCGGAGCTGTGCGACTTTGGCGCCGAGGACCTCATTCCTTCTATTCGGGGCCTCTTCCTAGACTTCCCGCGGGAGTCGCCGCCTCTCCCCATCACTGGTGGTGTCGTGTGGCGCGCGGAGGTGCTGGAGGTGTTCCTGGCGCTGAGTATTTGTGAACATTCTATTTGTTCTCCGAGTTCGTGTTTGAGTGTTAATGCTGCTACCTTCATTCCGCAGGAGCCCTCGCCCCCATCGGAGACGGGCACGCTGCTGCGCGCGGACGCCGTGGCCTTCATACCTCAGGGAGCTGGCTGGGAGCCTATTGCTCGGGGCACGCGCTGCTCCTGCGGCTCCGTGGCTTTCTCGAGCACCGCCGAGCCCGTGGAGGTGCACTGGGAGCCATGCCGCTGGCCGAGGGCGCCCTGCAGGTGTGTGGGAAGGCACCAGAAGTCTGCGTACACGAACGCTGCTGGCGGGCCTTCGGGTGCAGATCATCAGTTAGACAGGTCTGGATCCCCTCGTCCCGTACCTGTTGATGGAGGCTCTCCTGATCTTGGCTCTGGAGGCCGTCCTTCAACTTGCAACGCCGAGCAGCCTAAGAGCGAAAGAGTTGTCATCCCTGGGAAGAGCTCCGATCACCAGGACTTCATCAGCGCCCGCGAGCTGGAGCTGGTCAAGTGGAGGACCTACCTGTCGGAGCGGGCCTTGCACGTGCGGCCGCAGCCCTTCGTGCGGAGGCGGGCTAGACTGGACGTGGCGGCCTTCATCAGGGATCGGGGGCAGGAGCTGCGAGACTGGAGGTCAAGATGTTCGGAGAGGGCCGCGGGCCCGAAACTATTTGTGAGTCGGCGCGCTCAGGTGGGCGAGAAGGCACGCCTGAATGCAGATCCGACGGCAATCAATTCCCAGACTGAAAGCGGCCGCAAGTATCTGAAGGGTATTCCTCTGTGTCCCAGGCGCCTGCACAGACCGCAATTTTCAAATGATGACTTATAGCTATTACCACTTTGGCCATTGCCTGCGGGCGGTGGCGGGGGGCAGCCAGGCACCTGGGCCTCTGCCCTGCGCCTGTACGGCGGTCCTGGCCTTCGGGTTCCGCCCTGCAGGTGTGGGGCAGAGGTGTTCGGTGGTGTTTGGGGGCCCTTTCGCAGCCCCTTCGATCATATATTGGTGGGAGCCGAGTGAGAGCCACTGGAAAAGAGGAGGAAGAAAGGAGGACGGAGGAGGGAGGACGGAGGAGGGATGAGGGAGGGAGGGAGGGAGGGAGGAAGGGGGGGAGGGAGGGAGGAGGGAGGGAGGGAGGGAGGAGGAGGAGGAGGAGGAGGGAGGAGGAGGAGGAGGAGGAGGAGGAGGAGGAGGAAGAGGAGGAGGAAGAGGAGGAGGAGGACGAGGACGAGGGAGCAGGTAGGAGGAGGGAGGAGGTAGGAGGAATGAGGAGGGATGATAATGGAGGAGGAGGGGGGCGGGGGGGGGGGAGGAGGAGGAGGAGGGAGGAGAGGAGAGGAGGAGGAGGAGGAGGAGGAGGAGGAGGAGGAGGAGGAGGGGAGGAGGAGGAGGAGGAGGCGGAGGAGGAGGAGGGAGGAGGAGGAGGAGGAGGAGGGGGGGAGGAGGAGGAGGAGGAGGAGGAGGAGGAGGAGGAGGAGGAGGAGGAGGAGGAGGGGAGGAGGAGGGAGGGAGGGGGAGGAAGGAGGAGGAGGAGGCCTGCCTGCTCTTGCCCCTTTTCCTCTCTCTCTCTCTTCTCCTCCTCTGCCTCCCCCCCATCCAGGTCGCGGCTCCTCCTCCTCCTCCTCCTTTGCTCCCCCCGTCCCGCCCCCCCCCCCCGCCCTCCTCGCTCTCCTCGTTGCCATCCTCTTCCTGCCCGTACTTCCTCGCCCTACTTCACCAGCGTCCCCCACTGTTACATCGCTCTCTTGCCCACTCGACCTCCTCCTCAAGCCCTCTGTTGCCCGTTGCGGCGCCCCGTCCCGCAGGAGAGAGTCAGCGCCGCGGGCGCCTACGTTGTGAGGCTCGGAGGGGAATCCAGGGGTTAGTCCAGACAGGATAATTTCATCGAGGATAAAAAAGGAACCCCTAATCCTGATAACACAAACAAAACGTGGCCTCACTGAGGTCCCCGTCTTTGCATTATGCATTATTTTGGTTCAATACATCAAGAGCCGATATCCCTAATGTTTTTTTGACCTCCTAAGTTGAGTCGCGTCCCAAGGGATTAGGGATGTTTTTTTGGTTCATCCGGATCCGGGAATCGAAAATGCCAAAGGAGACCAATGGGAGAGAAGGGCTCCGAGGTTCATCTGCTTCGCCGGGGGCGTCGGCAGTCTGTGAGACTCTGGAGGAGCCCGCCGCAGGCGCCAACGTTTCACAAATTATACAACGAGCCTCCACAGGCGCCGATTTTTTTATAAACCAATGTGGATCGGTCGCGGGTGCGTTGCGGGTGGGTCACGGGGTGGGTCGTGGGTGGGTCGCGGGGTGGGTCGCGGGGTGGGTCGCGGGATGGGTCGCGGGTGGGTCGCGGGTGGGTCGCGGGTGGGTCGCGGATGGGTCGAGGATGGGTCGCGGGGTGGGTCACGGGTGGGTCGCGGGGTGGGTCGCGGGTGGGTCGCGGGGTCGGTCGCGGGTGTGTCGCGGGGTGTGTCGCGGGCTGGGTCGCGTATGGGTCGCGGGGTGTGTCGCGGGGTGTGTCGCGGGGTGGTTGGCGGGGTGTGTCGCGGGGTGTGTCGCGGGGTGGTTCGCGGATGGGTCGCGGGGGGGACGACGACAACAAACGACAACAAATAACAACAACACCACCAACAACAACAGCAACACCAACAGCAACAACACCACCAACAACACCAACACCAACAACAACAGCCAACAACACCACCACCAACACAAACATTAACAGCACCAGCAACTACAAACACAGCACCACCACCAACAACACCAACACCAACAACACCAACACCACCAGCACCACCACTAACAACCACAACAACACCAGCACCACCACCAACAACGTCACCAACAACACCAGCAACAACAACGGCAACACCATCACCAACAACCACACCGTCACCACCAACAGCAATAAGAACGCAACACACATACTCCTGAACACCGATTCTCGTTTCAGCCACGCACCCAGGGACAATGAATGACGTTTCGGCACCCATCTCTGGTGCGTGTGTGTATATGTATGTATGTATATGTGTGTATATACACACATATATATACGGCCTTCCCACTCCGCCACCGTGCCCAGGTTGTAGGTCAGAGGCCTCTTGGGTGCCCGTGGGGATCTCTTGGGACGCCCATCGGAAGCCTCTCGGAGGCAGCTTTTGGGGATGTCAGGGGGTTTCCTGGGGTCCTCGAAGGTTCCGATCTGGAGCTCTCTGCGGCCTACTGGGGCTTCTGGGTGGCCTCTTGCGGGCCTGCTGGCGGTCTCGGGGGTCATCTTGGCGCTGAGTGCCTCGACACGTCGGTTCGTGCTGCCCCTCATGGGGCTCTCTGGGGGTTTTCTTTGGGCATTCTTGTGCCGTCTGTGGGGCTTTTGGGTCGTCTTGAGGACCTCTTGGGCCGTGTGGGGTCCATCTTTGGGGTCTCGTGGGCCGTCTTGGGTCTTGGGGTGATCTTGGAAGCCTCCTGGGGCGCCTTGGAGCATCGGAAGACTGATCAGTGTGCGTGTGTGTGTGTGTGTGTGTGTGTGTGTGTGTGTGTGTGTGTGCGTGCGTGCGTGCGTGCGTGCGTGCGTGCGTGCGTGCGTGCGTGCGTGTTTTGTGGGTTTGGGTTTTTATTTTCAATATTTTTAATATGCAGGACTGACGACGGACACTTTATATGACCTGGGGACACTCCAGGTCGTGCATCGGGACACGTGGCTGAGCAAGTCGGAGAGCCATGAAACCTCAAATTGTTGAGCTCTCTTCAGGGTTCTCTTGGCACTATGTGCTTGCTTCATGTGAGATGTTTTTTCAGTGGTGTTCGACGGTTTGAGCTCCCTCTGGTCTGTCTGCTCTCCTCTCTCTTGCGCCCGCTATTTGGCAGTGTTTGTTTGGTTGGTCGGCTTCTTTAGCTCCCAGAAGGTCCTCGGTACTCTACCGTTTGTGTCCTTCGCACGCTCTGCAGCTTCTGCCCTCTCTCAAAAGTGTCCGCTCCTTCTGTTCAGCGTTTACACCGCACACTCCATCTCTTCCGTTCTCCAGGTTTTCCCTGCTTTCCGCACTGCCTGCGCTCTGAATGGTCTTCGGTCTCTCTGCTCATTGCACTGTCCGTTCGAGTGGGGGATCCACTATAGAACTGATTTGCCCAAATCTTGGTTGGTTCTTCGAATCTACGGACAGTGCTTACAGTATTCGTCGACCCACGAGCATCATTCGCATTTGTTGTGCACTCGGCGTGAGCATACACTTGAGGCCAATCGGTGTTGTAGTCGATCCCCATACACAGAGTTTCTCAACAAACGTCGGGGGGCGCGTCACCCCCGCCGACAGCCCCACACCGACCCCCGTCGCGGGCAGCCGCCGCGCGCCGAGGGCGCTTTCCGACCCCCGTCGCGGCGCGTCGACGAGGCGAGGTGTACCCCCGTCGAGGGGGTCCCCCCCCCACGCTTATAAAATAACCCAGAAGATTCGATCCCCTACGAGCAGTGCGTACACTGTTCGTCGACCCACGAGCGTCACTTGCATTGTTTGTACACTCGGCGAGAGAACATACATTCTGGGGTGAATCAGTGTTGTAGTCGATCCCCTACTTGAGCCGTGCGTGCCGTCGAGGCCGATGAGCAGGTCGACCCTGCCAGAGTCGAGGGTGCCCTCGTGCCCTGCGTTCTGCGAACCCATCCGTGCCTTGCACATCCCTGTGGCCATGTTGCCCCCGGAAGGGTCTTTGTGCCTTCTCGGGCGTCCTCTCCCCTCGGCCCCGACTGCACCCCTCCCGCCGACCACCCGCCCGGAGAGGCTGTGCCTCGGGGGCCGCTGGCGCTCCGTGCTCGTGGACGACCGCCTGCCCTGCCTCGGCGGCGCCGGGTTCCACACGCAGCTCGCCTTCTGCGTGACGCGGCGCTCGCAGCTCTGGGCCACGGTCGTCGAGAAGGACCCCCCTGGGGCTCGGGGAGGGAGCGCCGCACCGCGAGGCGCTGCGCAGGCGTGCCGACTTTGCTCGGAGAGGCCGCTCGGGGGTCTCGGATCGGCGCTGGCTCCGCGCAGACTTCCCGGGGTCGGCGCCGCGCCCCCCCCCCCTCCTCGGGCGCCTGTGGTGATGGCCGCTGGCGCGCTGAGGCAAGAGCTCCCCGCGGACACTCCCAGGAACTCATCCTGGCATCGCTCGGACGCGTGCATTTTTTTTCCGGCGAGGACCATCGAGGGCCATCCTGGACCATCGGACAAAAAAAAGAACACGCACGAAACCGAGAAGTGCACGGGAAATGGACGTCCGAGCGACGGCAAGTCGTGCCTGTGCCGTGTTCTGCAGTCAGCCCGCGCAGCAAGGGTGGGCAGCCTTCCCAAGGGTACCCTCGCGGCCTGGCCTCCTCGGTCCATCCTTCGCCGCTTTCGTTGGCCGCGCCCCGCTCGAAAAGCTCCGCATCTTTTTCGCGCATCCTTCTGGCGCGCCGATCCCAGAATTCTCCGCGGACCTCCAAGACATGCTGCTGGTGCCGTTGTCGCTGCCTCGAGAAGTGCGTCGCTGACATGCTGCCGTTGGGTTAAGTAGGGCTTGTCCCTCTACAGGGCGGATATTCCAAGATGGCAAAAAAATAGTTTGGGGACGATCTGTTGAGAACTTTTTAACCCTCTTGGGGCATCTTCGGAGTATCTGTTGTTTCTCGCCCCGAACCCCCCTGTAGGGCGGCAGGCCCGACCTGGCCGTTGGGGAGCCCGTCGGCGTGCGCCTCCCGTGTGGCACGCTCCTATCATCTGCTGCTGCCCCCCCCCGGGTCCTCTGGGGGGCCACATGCGAATCCCACCCCTACCCCCCACGACTTCCGAGGGGGAGGGTTCGTTCGGGAGCTCCCGAACGAAGTGAACCCCACCCTCTCCCTCAGAACTCGTGGGGGGTAGGGGTAGGGTTCGCAAGTGCCCCCCCTACTCTGGGAGGCGGGGGCTGGTCGTCGCCACTTCTGCTGTGGAGGTCGATCGATGGAGAGGGAGCATGCCGCCAAATGATATCCAGATGTCTGAACCATGCTTCTCCAAGCATGCTTTAAACATGTGAAGACATGTTTGACACATTGTTAGAACATGTTTTACACCTTGTAAACACAATTTTGAATTCAATGGTAAGATCGTTAGAGTGTCCATTGTCATGGCATCCACAACACTGCACCTCCGGGAGGCGGGAGGCTGGTCGTCGCCACTTCTGGATCGGTGTGGGGGACGGCGGCATTTGGGGGCTAGACTTGGGTCGGGCGTGCCCCCCTGCAGGCGGATTCTGGACGATAAGGAAGAAATAGTCCAAACATATTCCAACATAGTCAGAATATAATCGAAACATCGTCCCCAGACTATTTTTTGACTATGTTTGAACTTTTCCTCCTGTAGAGGGATGTGCCCGACTTGAGGCTAGACGCACCTGCTCCCCCCAAGACAGAGCCCAAACAGCCCCGAAGCCAGCCCAAGCAAGCCCTGCGACATCAAACAGCCTGCCCAAGCTGGCCGCAGCCTCTTTCTGATAGCGAGTCGTCCCCCCAGGACTGCCCAGGGACCCCCCGACGACCTCGCAAACCTCGTCCAACGTATCATCTCAGCGCCATGGGCTGCGCTAGAACCGAACCGCGCGCGAAATGCGCGCGTTGTTCTAGAATCTTTGTATATCCACATACATATACCTATACGACCACCCTTCAGGTTATAAGGAGGTTCGGGGGGGGAGGAACCAACGTTTCACTCGATCGGTCTCACTGTTGATCTCGCTATTATCGATCTCACTATCGGTCTCGCTCGATCGATCTCACTCGATCGATCTCACAATCGATCTCACTCGATCTATTTCATTCGATCGATCTCACAATCGATCTGACTATCGATGTCACAATCGATCTCACTATGGATCTCACTATCGATCTCACAATCGATCTCACATTCGGTCTCACTATCGATCTCACTATCGATATCACAATCGATCTCACAATCAACGTCATCATCATCATCATCATCATCATCATCATCATCATCATCATCGACATCTTCGTCATCAATGTCATCAGCATCATCATCATCGGGTCACCATCATCATCATCATCACCTCATCACCATCATCAACATCATCATCACCATCATCATCATCATCATCAGGACACCAGCATCGTCACCGTCATCATCAACAACACCATCATCATCATCATCATCGGGACACCATCAGCATCAGCATCAGCATCGGAACACCACCATCATCATCACCATCATCTCATCCTCATCATCATCATCAACATCATCATCATCATGAACACCATCATGAACATCACCATCATCGGGACACCAGCATCATCAGCAACATCATCATCGTCACCATCATCATCATCATCACTATCCTCCTCATCATCATCATCATCATCGGGACACCATCATCATCGTCACCATCATCATCATCACCATCCTCATCATCATCATCATCATCATCATCATCATCGGGGCACCATCATCATCAATATCAGCATCATCATCATCACCGGGCCACCATCATACAAATCATCATCTTCACCTCTGCATCATCCTCATCATCATCATCGGGACACCATCATCGTCATCATCATCAACAACATCATCATCATCATCATCATCGGGACACCATCGTCATCACCATCACCATCATCATCATCATCATCATCATCAACAGCACCATCATCAACCTCATCCTCACCATCATCATCTTGACATCATCATCGTCAGTTTCATCATCAGCATCAACATCATCTCATCATCTCATCATCTTCAACCTCATCATGACCATCAACACCATCACCATCGGGATGCCATCATCATCATCAGCAACATAATCATCATCAACATCTTCATCATCATCATCGGGACACCATTATCATCACCACCATGCCCATCATCATCACCATCATCAGCACCATCAACATTGTCAGTGTTATCATCATCATCATCGGGACACCATCATCGTCATCACCACCATCATCACAATCATCATCATCAGCATCATCGACATTATCATCATCACCACCATCATCATCATCATCTCCGTTCCGCTGCGATCCCACCCTTCAACTTCTTCTTCTTCTTCTTCTTATTCTTCTTCTTCCTCTTATTATTCTTCTTCTCATTACTGTTTTTTTCCTGGTCGGGCGCGACCCTTTTGGACCCCCAGGTCTTTCCCGTGACGGCCCTAGAGGGCCCCTAGATGGCCTGAGCATGAATCGCCCGAATCATTTAGAGGGCCATTATTGAAGGCTCATGAGGGCAAGCACGTGTTCAAAACACATGTTCATCTCATGGCCTTTGGGGGCTCTTGAGGACTCCTTGGAATCCTGTTTGGATTCACCGGGATCGGTGTCATATTGTGTGAGGATGTCCCACGCGATAGCGCCAGTTTGGGAATCTTCAGGCGGAGCCGCCGGATTCGAGGCAGTTTTGGGCCTTGCCCAGGGCCGATTTTGTGAGGATGCCCCGAGCGAGTGTGCCAGTTTCGGAATCTTCTGGCGGAGCCGCCAGATGCGTCGGATTCGCCGGAAACGGTGCAGGATCGCCGTTGTTGGCTTCATTTCCTCGCGCGCTGGGGGTCAGGATATCGTGAGGTCTACTGAAACTCTTGTCAACAGAGGAAGAATGGGGAGACGAGACTCCTGATGAGAATGAGGAGAGCGAAGGCAAGAAGCTTGGCCACTTTCGTTGGCTGCGCCCCGCTCGAGAAGCTTCGAAATGGCCTTGCAAGGCCCTTGCTTCCCCATCGCGCATCCTTATGATACGGGCCGACTCTATTTGCCTAAGGCTTGTTTGAAGGGTTTGGGCCTCTTCGGGGTGTCCTGAGGGGGCTCTGAGAGCACTTGGGACCGTCTTGTGGTCCTCGTCGGGCCTCTTGGATCTATGGCGGAAGCTAACTTGAGCCATCTTCGGCTATCTTGAGCCGCATTGGAGACCATTTTGGAGCATCGGAGGCCCTCTTGGAGCCATCTTGGGCCATCTTGGATGCTCGAACCCCTCCGTCCCCCCCCTCCGGACCCAGCGATAAGGGGGGAGCGGGGAGGTGCACCTCCCCGAGGAGAACAGGTCTGTTCCGAAGGGAGTTTTTTTTTGGGAAGAGGAAAACAACAACTCGTCAGACCAGCTTAGTTCAGAGGGCTGTTGGGATTCCTCGGATCGAAGCTGGCCTCCCCTCCCTGTCGCGCCTCTGGCGCCAGGGGCGGTGCCAGAGGTGCCGCCACGGAGCCCAGCGCCGATCCGAGGAATCCGCGCGGACCTCAGAGCTTTTATTTGTTACTCCCCGAACAGCACTTGCACTTAGGGGTTCCTACTTCTGCAATGAGGAACGGGGCCTGTGCGTCGGTCTGGCGGCTACGTTGTCGCCGTCGCCGCCGCGTCGCCAGTTCGCCGCTCGTCGCCGCCGTCAGACTGCAACACATGTATTGCTTAGCGTTACTTTGCACTGCTCTGAATTACCGCTCTGAATGACCTGGTATTGCTTTGTCTTGCTTTGCCTTGCTTTTTTGCATTGCTTTGCGTAGCTTTGCATTGCGTTGCTTTGCTCTGCATCTCATTGCTTTGCATTGCATTGCTCTGCCTTGATTTGAATTGCTTTACGTTGCATTGCTTTTTGTTGCTTTGAATTGCTTTGCATGCCTTTGCATTGCCTCGCGTTGCTTTGTGTTGCTTTGCATTACTCTGCATTGCTGTGCTTTGCATTGCTTTGCATTGCTTTGCGTTGCTTTGCGTTGCTTTGCATTGTGTTGCACTGCATTTCTTTGCTTTGTACTGCAGTGCTTTGCACTGCGTTGCTTGACTTGCTTTGCGCTGCGTTGCACGCCATTGTTCGCCGTGTGTGGCATCGCTCTGCATCGCTTTGCTCTGCTTTGCATTGCTACGGTGTGCTTAGCATTGCTTTGCTTTGTACTCCCTCCCTCTCCCCCCCATCCCTCA